TTATAGTCTTTGCTCCAACTATGAATGGGAGTACTCGTACTAAACTGACAAAAGAATATTAGACAAAGATAATTGACGATATCTCCATGGCCTCTGATCTTCTTTGATGACACATGGGGTTTTATTTGATTTTAATATATAATGATCGGGGAGCTGATTTGCATACATGTGGGATAGGTTGACAGAGCTGCGTTAACATTTTCTGCGAGTACAGGCGTTGAACATTGAGTATCACCACAATGTTTCTCAGTTTTATCCACTCATTGTGGGCTTTTTCAGCCTTGTTGTCAGCGTTTGCACGGAACACTAGACCAGCAATCAGGATTGAAGTGATCAGAGCTTTCATGCAGCGCTGTCCCATTATGACTACTTAAAGTTGTGTACGTACCCAAACACGTATGCCTGGAAAAACCCATTGCGATGCTTCAAAACTCGTTGCGACCAGTGATGAGTAAATGACGGGCATTTTGTTCAAGCTCCTGTTTTCATTTTACGTGGCCTAAAAATAAAGCAGTGACAATACAAATGCATTGCAAGCGATAAATATTCATGATAAGTTAAAGAAATGTCCATGCACTTTATTGATCATTGAACTGAGGTTGAAGTGTGCGGATTGGTCTAAAAACCAAACTATTAAAAAAATCCTCTAGGAGTAAAAATTGTTCTTGATCATTCCTGATGAAATCCAATCGGCTGGAGACGGAGCTGGTACAACTTTGGACTCACTACAACCATCTATATTTTAATTATTCGTCACTTTATGATTTTTTGAAAATTAGTAACCCAAGATTCTGCGATATGAAATCGCTTCTGCTCGTTTTCTTGAAATCGTTCCCCTGCCCGATTTGTATACGCTCACATGCGCCTTTATTTTTTGCTTTGTTTTTAGCAGAAAGTTTTCTTCCAGAAACTTATGCAAATATTTTGTTTTAGAAGAAACCATTTTTGCATCAAAAAGGAAATTGTCAAATACTGTAATATTTCCATGAGTTTATGAATTGATCTAAATAATATAAAGGAGATCAATGTTTTACGTATGGACAATATTGTGAAACAACAGGTGTCTAAAAGTCACAATAACCAACGTGCGTTGAACGTGCTTTTATTATTAGTTGTTGACGCTTGATTCTCTGGGCGGACCAATACCATAAAGTGTTACCACAATCCACCAAGGACCAGAACATTTAAAACTCAAGTTGCACTTGTGCGTTCAAATGCTTATGACGCAACGAAGTGGTGTCATTTATGTCGAAGACTAAGCGCACACCAGGGAAATGTCATCCAAACGGGTTTACGAAATCTCGGCTTCATCTGCAGATTCTGCTTGAGACTCCCTCCTTAATTCACCCCCGCCCGTTCCCTGAAAGCTCGATTCTGCCCCGATAATTTTAGTTTTCAATTGCTGTTTTTGAATAGCTGTCTATCGCAGCAAAACATAAATCCTCATTACAATAGCTAATGCAGAGTTAACATCAAATAAATAATCTCAATCCTCCTCTCTGATCAGTGAGACAATGTCATAATCGCAAAGCTAAACTAGAAATGTGTTTGTGGACAAACACAAGCTGTTTCGGATATTTGAAATACTCTGTGCACGTGATGAACACTTGATGAAGTCACTTCGAATGTCATCTGCCAAGAGAAAAGTCAATCAGACATATAGTGCCAAAGTATGAATTGAAAAAAAAAAGTGTACAAAACCTATGGGGAATAATGCATCCTTAATGTGAAGTAACCTTACACCTGATGATGTCACGATCACGAATTTCTTCTAGGACCATCTGTGGGTGATGGTCCAAGTGTGTGCCAAGTCTAAAGTACATCGAATTTACGAAAGTGCCAAAGTGGAGTGTTTTAAAACGTGTACAAACCATATGGGGAAAATGCATCTTTAATGTGACGTAACCTAAAACCTAATGACGTCACGATCACGAAATTTTTCTAGGACCATCTGTGGGTGATGGTCTAAGTATGTATCAAGTCTGAGGTCGATCGGATTTACGAAGAGGCCAAAGTGGAGTGTTTTAAAACGTGTAAAAAAAATATGGGGGAAAATGCATCTTTAATGTGACGTAACCCAACACCTTATCACGTCACGGTTACGAATTTCTCCTAGGACCATCTGTGGGTGGTGGTCTAGGTATGAATTAAGTTTAAAGTCGATCGGATTTACGAAGATGCCAAACTGGAGTGTTTGAAAACGTGTACAAAACATATGGGGAAAAATGCATCTTTAATGTGACGTCACCCAACACCTGAAGACGTCACGATCGCGAATTTCTTCTAGGACCGTCTGTGGGTAGTGGTCTAAGTATGTACCAAGTCTGAAATCAATCGGATTTAAAAAAGTGCCAAAGTGGACTGTCAAAAGAAACGTGTGTTAAACCTATGGAGAAAAAGTCTGAAAAAGGAGAAGAAAAAAAAAAAAAAAATCTTAACTAAAACAAGAGCTGTTTCGGTGTGTCACCGAAACAGCTAATGATAAGTGAGTTTGAAGGATACAGTCATGTGATGCTGTGCGGAGTGTGACTAACGGGGCCGAGGCTTATACGCTGTAGGGTGTGACCCTTGATGTTCCGTACACTGAGACTGTGGAATCGTACGGTATAGGCCCGCGGAGTAAGTCTATCAGAAGTCCATCACATGTCATTCAATAATTTCCAAGTCATTAATAGTGACAAAGGCATTTCCTTATTATTCATTCCCTGTTACTTTTGGCTGGACTTATGAATATTGGCATGTGACCAGACTACTGAAGGACTCAAATGTTACAGCACTCATTCTCTCCTTTCTTAATGTATTGCATTCAATGTTTTCATATACCATCAGTGACGTGACTTTTTTTCGACAATGACACTTAAACAAACGTAGAAAAGAAATCTAGAGTTTGAAAACTTTATTACAGGGCGACGTTGCATAATTCAGAAAGTAAGCAAGTCATCAATTTCCTTACAGATACCCAGGAAGGGAAATCAAGAAGGTAACAGCCAATCAGAGACAGCCTAATATAAGTCAAGGCCAAATCATATAACAATAAAGAACTGATTCTAATGGGTAAAAATAGGCATCTGAGGCTCTGCACATGCTTGCATTGGACAACCAGTGTAGTCCAGGTAAATATAATTGTAACCCAAGTAGAAATTTAGCCGAAATTAGGAAGAGGCATTCGGTGACAAAGATCTTGTTTGCTGTTCATTCAGTGCATTTTGTTCTAGAGCTCAGAGCAGTCGTTCATCCTCCTCTATGGGATCCGCGCTTAGCTCCAAATCGGCTCAAAATATATATCGTTAATCAACAAAATAATATCCAAATGCAGAATTAGAATGATTCATGAGGAATATGATGGACTAATTGCTAATTATATAATGTTTGTTAAAAGTAAAGTGAAGTTTACAACAACAAAACAATATAGTATTACCTCTAAAGAGTGAAGGCGAAACGTTGTAGATGAGTCTTTAGTAAAAATACATATGACGAGAGGGTATAAAAGCGCAAAATACGGAACAAACATAGAGGGCGCTTTACTAATACTTTACACAACCGAGTTGAGCGTAAGCTAAAAAAAACCCGGAGGCTCTGAAAACAAGCATACTGTTGCGAAACCGACCCTGACACCATTTGTTGCGGAACTGGTGGTTGGCGGAACCCAGGGGGACTGGTCTTATTTATCCCCAGGACTTTAGCTAACTCCTGTTAACCCACAAAAAATATGTATTAACCTCTCGCAAGGATGAGAGGTTACCCAGACGTAAGGGGGGAGGGGGGAATTGACAAACGACGGACTAAGCCTAGGGACTGTTCGTTTGGTGGAAATATACCACCGTTTTGTGATTGAGTAATCAATCAAATGTAATTAGAACACTTATTTATTATAATAATCTTCACTATAATCCAAATAATTATCACAGAGACAAATGTTTCCAAGGACGATCAGCAATTGGTGTTATTCTTCTCTGGTCAAATATTCAATCATAATCTTTATACACAACCACTCAATTTATTATACACAATTGTAATAGTTTCCAATGACTCAAACAAGGGTCGAATGTTTCGCCACAATACGTTTACATGAATGTCCCTTACTCAACAGGAGACTGCTTAAATGATCCTTAGATACACGGTGGGTAAAACAGGGCATTTCCTGCCTTAAATGGATTTGAGTCTACCTGTTTGTCTATCTGTCAAGCTCTTCTTTAAGTTTACTTGTGCAATTGCCGCTAATTTAATATTATTTTTATCATTTACATTTGCCCTAGATGACAGTTATGTCCTAAAAGACTACATTGTATTACAAACCTAAATGGAATGTCTAAAAGAGGCAAGACAAGTCTGAAGATGTCACCGTTGTCACAATACCCTTCTTAAAACCAGGGACGATACAGCAAACAATCTGGTATTGGAGGTAAGTTACACAATTTCGTTATCAAAACTGATGATTTGCTTTACAGAAACACATTGAGATACTCCTCTGCGCAATAAATCTGAATAACTGATCATCAAACTTGTCAAGCAAAGCAAAGTAGAATCAAATGTACTAATAGCTTTAGTTATTGAATTCATCCGATCCATAAAAGAATAAAATTGATAAAATTAGCTATAAGGCAAAGCAACGTTGATATTGTCCTCGTATTCCATATTTATTTTAAAATATTTATATTTCACATTTACAAGTGGTTGATTGAAAACAGAAGGCAACCAGGCTAACATTGTTTGATATCGATCTCAAAGAAAATAATCTATTACAACTTCCCCGAATCCTCAAATATTATTCAATCAACATCTTTTTAGCTCCCACTACCATTGCAAATATACAAATTGTTCCAAAACTATACAACACAAATGTGAAGGTCAGGTTGCCAAAAATTAAACATCTTTTCTGGCACTCCCCTTCCCGGGTCCAATTCCACTGCAAATACATGTAATTACAAGTGATCTATACAAAATAAACCTCTAAAAATCTGACTAGCTTTTTAATCTTAACTCATGAACAAGTTGTAATTTTACTCAAGCTCGTGATGCTCTGATATGATTTCTTCGTAAGGCCTTTCCACATAGTCTTCGTCAACATCAAGGGAAAGATCTCTCACACTCGTCATCACAAGACGTGTGCCTCTGCCTTCCCTCGCCAATGACTCGTGTCGACAAAACCAGCAACAGGCTTTAGCGATGCATGTTGCCATACTACCACAGCACCCAGAGCGCCACAGTGACTTCATCACCATCCAGAGAAGACTTGCTGTACATAAAAAAAACCAATTGTTACTGATTCGAATAGCCCCATCCAAGCTGTCAATCAAATAGTGCTCATTGGCCAATTAGATTATGACTGGTCAGGTGATCACAGTTTCTCTGTCAAAATTGGTGTCAGGCACAGTGTGTAATGTATCAATGAACTATCTACAACAATCAAGAATAATGATATATATGTATTTAAATGCGTACCTATGACAAACACAATGATGCTGAAATTCATCAGAACCAGGACAGCCGCAAGGACTTGGGCTCTCTCTGTGCCACCTCCAGTAGGAGACAGGAGCAAGGAGGCTGCCAAGAGATTCAGGAAGATGGTTGCTAGGGAACACATCTGTAAACGGCTATCGGTAACATCTTTCATCGGCCTTACATATGCATGTAGGAGCAGGAACCCAACAGATATGGCGATGGTTGCAAACATGGTGAAGTGATCATCTGGGCCGTACAGCAACACAAACAGCGTCTGGATGATCTTGCGGGAAAGCTCAACAATTTCCCAATACCAGAACTCTGCTTTGTAGTTTCCACTGAGGAAACTTTTCCATGTGATTTCTGACGGACTTTGTTCTTCGGAATTTAGGAGGTCGATGCCTGGTTGATTAAATGTGGAATCATCTTCATTTCTGTGTGGCATAGTTGGATCATTGATGCTGCAGTAACTCGGATCATCTACTGACGATTCAGGCAAAAGGTGCTCATGCGATTTATTTCTCTTGTCTTGTCCGTTGCTTCTCCACAGAAGTACAAACAGCAAGGACGGGAAGCCAACAACGTAACAGAGAGAAGCTTCGGCAGCATGGTTGAAATGAACATGCTGCTCGTTTTGACAGTCGATAGAGTAATCGGATCGAAGTCTCGTAGCACTATAGGTCTCGTTCTCATCTAGATAGAACGGGTCGCAACCAGAAGGCAAGAGGGTGAATATAACACTGGACAAGCCGGGATAAGACACAAAGAGAAGCATAACAACAAACAGGTAACATTTCTGTCTTGTGGTTGACAAAGCCTTGACACGCTCTTCAACTGTGTTTTTCTTGATCGCCAAGTAGCACTTTGAAACCCAATAGACACACAAAGCTGCCAGCACAACAAACGAAACTAAGCTCATTCCAAACAAATACTCAATGTACACATTGCGGTAGGTGAAGTCTGGAAAGTAGCAGCGGGGACTGATGACCAATTGGACAATATTCATCTCCAGCAGTTTGAAAAATGACCCAAACTTAGTCAGAATATTCGGCCAGGGAATCTCATCAAGGGCAGAGAAAATCTCGCCCATCACCTGATAGAAACCAAGCATGATTTTCCCTCGAGCAAAGATCACATCAACGGCCGACCGTCCTTTTCTCCGGTTTCTCCGCACATCCCAAGCGATGACGAGTATTACCACTGCCAACACGACCAGCAACAGAACGACTTCAAGTAAGAACCACCACCACTTTGGGCACACATTACAACTATCAAACCAGGCGTAGTACCCCACACTGCATTCAGAGCAAAGCCAACCTTCATAACCAACCTCACAAGTGACATTGATACCATCCCCTTCATTTAAACAAGACTCCTTACGTGGACACGGATGTACCTTAGGCACCACTCCCCTAAAATGCTGCGTGCTGCTATTGTAGGAATCATTTTTGCTCCTGATGTTTACAACGAAATGCTGATATGCTTCGTAGTTGTCGTTTGAGCCCCAGTCCCAAGTCCACCAAAATCCAGGTAAGAGGTGTTGATACTCCCCTGCACAGTCAAGACCTTCGTCTGGGCAAGGATAACACTCATCAAACCGATCTTTCCGGTAGTACTTATCGAGACAAAAGCATGCGCGGAACCCTGCATGGAGACTTTTATTGGTACCTGTAGGACACACGGTGCAATCTGCAGGGCTGATACCAGGGTGAGCAGCTGGGGTGACGTAGGTTCCATTGTTGCACTTTTGACACTTGATGGGCTGTGATGTGTCTGCTGCCTGTCCAGTCTTGGTTTGGTAAAAGCCTCCTGCGATTCAAAGATAATACATGTAATTTCATTAAAACTGTCCAAAACCCCTCACTGCCATTCGACACTTTTCTTCGACTTTCAACAAAGTACTTGCAAAATGTCATGCAAACCTTTTCTTTTCTCATAATCCGAGCAGTGGTACTTCCATTAGCCGACTAAATAATGTAGGGAGAAATCCTCCTAGTATTAGGACACCAATTCAAAATTAAATCAGTGCATCCTTGAAATCAGAAAACTTTGTAGATCATTAGTTCACGCTATTGCGCATGTCACGTACCCATGGTGGAAGAAAAAGTGAGTGCACATAAATAACCTTCAAGCAGATAACGTCTGCAATGACATGAACATTGTTTCCAATTTCCTTCCAAAAATATCTTATCAACACATAAAAACTGAACTTCGTAGTACCAGCTGGGCACGCTTTACACCCACTCTCCCTCAGATCTCCATAATATCCTTGGGCACATGGCACGCATCGCCACCAATGAACAGTTCTTGAACAGGAGAATCCACATTTTGTGAAGATATCTGCCATTTCCTTCGTTACAATTATCGGTAGGGCGAACCCGTCACCAACCTGTTCACTGAAATTTGAAGGTACAAAAAAATAACTCTATGCCTATGCTTTTTTTTTTACGGTGTATTGTAACAATGCAAGACAGGTCAAGTCTATAAGTTCCATGACATGAACTTCCTTAGGAACATTTTAAAAATTAAAGGGAATGTACATCATTGGCTTTTGCTGTAATTTTCAGAAATGAACTATTTGAGGGGTTAGTTTAATAGGTCAAATATTGTTACACTGACATGTTTGAAGTTTTGTGTTCGAAAATGCTGGAAAAACCAAGTAAAACAAAAATGTTCAAGTAGTCTGGTTCCCTGACTCCACTAAGGATAAAATGGATCAGTTTATAGATGCCGGAAAATTGTAAGGTAAGGGAACCAGTGTAGCTGGCCTGCACCCGTTCATGAACATGTTACCAATAGCAACCAAAATTTGGATTGAAAAAAAATGGTAAATTTGAAGCAGAAGTTGAAAAATAGTTAGGTTTTTCCAACGGTGATCGGCCGACCACTGTTGGAAATGTATACAAAAATACCATTTTCTTGAAAATGACTTCACACCAGGTGCCATAATTTTACAGGATGCTTGTGACTGTTATTTACCAACATCCTAGTAAGGTATTTCGTAAAACTTGATAGTTTTATTTTTCGATGTTTGCAAATGTTGTATATTCCCTTTAATGTATGAAAACCTCTTTGAACATTTCAAATTGTCCATGTTTTCCTAACAACTGAGGGCGCTGTTGTTGTTATGTCATTTTTGGAAGTCACTGTTCATTTCAGGGGTTTTCTGTTTAAGTTGTAAACCAGACCATTTGCTTAATGAAAACATTTGTGAGAAAAGTTTGCTCTTTGGCTTACTGTCATCGTAACAGAAAATGTATGATAGCAATATATCCAAAATCCAGGTAACTGTTGATGCTGATAAAGTTGGAATTAACACCCAGGATTCTGCCTTGAATGACATCACACGTATGCTCAAAATTATATATGGACGTTTGCTTCTGCATAAAACCGAAAGGCACCAAAAACCCTTGCAAATGACAAAAATATACAATTTAAAATAAGGTTGAATTCGACTCAAAGGTGCATTTTCAAGGATTGCATTTTAATAAAATAGAGAGCATATGGGCCATTTATAACATGTAGAGCAAAACCAATATCTTTAGAAATCATCAAGTAATAATTTATATGAGAGTCGTGAAAGATCTTTACATTTTCAGATCAGTCCGATTTGTTGCAGGCGCAAACTGGAGTGTGTTATCAACAGCCCTGAGAACAAAGGGACAAAATGAAAATGTATTATGTTCAACTCCAATAATCTCCCAAGAAAGTTGTCAATGAGGTACATCGTCAATGCTGCGATACGTTACAACTATAACTTGAAAAATATTCAGGAAGGAAAATGTACAACAGTAACAATCTTGGCAGCAAAATGTAAACTTGAAAGCGAAAACTTTGACTCACAAACTGTAACTTACACATAGGCGTTGATACCCAAATCTTGCCATACGACATCGAAAATAGTTGTCAAATGACTGTCATACAACGATCTGGAAAGTCGGGAAAAGTAAGAATCTAATTTCATACAATATGACACACTGATGGAAATTCGCGAATCTATCATTACATGCACTTAAGAGTAATTTCGTGTAAATACTTCATATAAGTGTCCACGCTCAAAAAATCAAATTTTTAAAACTTTGTGGGGTGAAAGTACTTAGGGAGCAAGTAACCAAAATAGACTTTTTAAACTTTTATTTTGCCCGTTGCCATGGTTACGGGCCATTATGTGTTTTGGTCATTTTTGGCAATTTTGAAGCTGCAAAAATTCATTTTTCGCGTTATTTTCAAAGGTCATCCAGCCAAACTGCAAAGTAATGTCACAAAAGTAACCATATCACGACAAAGTATCATCCGTACCCTTACAAGAAAAAAATAGAAACACTTCTGAAAAATCTCCTTTATAATATTTTTAGGCCCTATAATACAGCATGTTTTTACAACTAGCAAAACTGCATTTTTTACCCCATTTTTAACCCTCCAAAATGGCACTTGCCAAGGCACTCAGAATAATTTCCCTTCGGTTATGGTTAGTTCAGACATTGGTTTTTCATATCTGGTGAGATAATTTTAAGGTTATTTTTATAGCCTTTGTGCAGTAGCGCTCCAAAAATGGTAAACTTCACAAAAACCTTAAAAAGTGTATTTTCAGTGTTTTCCTTTGTTTTGAGTAATAACTTGTATAACTTGTATAATTGGTATTGTTCATGAATCTAGCACATTTTTACAGAATTAGACTGTGTATCATTTTTAGACCATTGGATGAATAGTAGGTCGTGTACTTCCCCCCACACCTGGCTAGGCCCCGCCCACTCCCCCTGTGCCACCGAATTTTGAACTTGTATGTTGCATAACGAAACAAATGTAAATATGCAAGTGAACACTTTAGAAATAACATATAATTCCTTTTCACAGCCTCCCCTTCCCCCACCCCGGGGGCATTGCTTGGGGTTGAGGGTGCGGTGTGACCACCCACCAATAACTTGGCATTGTCGGTAAAATCATTGTCACATGGGCAAAACTCATGTGTTTGCAAGCCGCAATGAATAATGGTCATATCCACTGTCCTCTGATTGAAGTGCACCATCATTCCAATGATGTCCAGTCCTCCCCTCCTAGCTAGGCCCCGCCCTTTCCCTTGCCACCAAATTCAGATTTTGATTTCTGCATGTATTTGCCTAAATTATTATTGTAAATAGATGTCAATTTGCCAGTGAAAATTTCATAATCTACACCAACAGGCGTACTTTTCTCACAGCCCACCCCCTGCCATCCCTCTTCCTACTCCAGTGCTCATTATGAGCAACTACCCCTCCCCTCCCAAAGAATTGTACAGAATATGTATTATTGTTAAGGTTAGATATTGCCTTGCGGAAAGTCCACATATTTACATACCCTATGTAGGTTTGTCTATTTTTTTTGTCAACGTGGGAGTGGTTTGGAATATCTGGAAAGCGCAGGGGGGGGGGGGTGTAATACGGATACATGTACATGATACATGTACATAATTCTAAAATTTGTTTTAACAAAATTGCATTTATTTTAGTGATATTGCGATTACGAGAGCAAATAACTCATATTTTTATATTAAAATACATGTACCTTAAAACAACTATCACTCTAGTGAAAACTCAAAATGGCCTCTATATTGATTGATTGAATTGAACGTGTAAATATGGTCAGATCAAGCACATAAAAGTCGAATATAGTACCGTTATGGGTGCTGCTATGCCCTCCAAAATCGTAATTTCGTAATCAGCATGACATATTGAGTCACTTCTAAACTGTCATCAGCAGTGAACATGGCCACACTTCTGTGGTTCAACCCGAATTGGCAAAACTAAAGTAAATATACACAATTGTGGGGATGTTATTTAATGCTCTGCAATTCATTCATGTAATAACTATAAGAAACGTACATCAAAACAAACAAAATGGTACAGATTGAAAGGTGAAAATTACATGCGCTTCTCGCACCAATGGCGGCCACGTTACATACTGAGCATGTGTTGTTGTTAATTATATAGCCATGAATTTCAGTCATAGGATATTACTTCCGTGATAGGCTTTGAAAATGGAAGTATTTTTGACTTTAGTTTATGAGCACCGATGTCTTTACAACGGTTGCCATGGTAATAATAAGCACACTACAGAAGTGTATTTGGTGCCACAAAACTTCATGTTGATCAGGCAAATACAAATTTGGAGGACAATTCCACTAAAAAAATACTTCAGACCCTAACTACATGTATATAGCCAAGTCAAGTCAGAGTGAAATTCATGCAATCAAATTGATGCTGTGTTCTCTCGGAGCTTTCACTGGAGTGATCGTTGTTTTAAAGTACATGTATTTCAATATAAACAAATAAGAGTTAGTTGCTCTCTAAATCGACAGATCTTTTCCGTTTTGAAAATTATAAAATAAACGTCATTTTGTTCACCACACCTTTTACTGTAATTCCAAAGTAGCTTGCAATATAAACAAATGTGAACAGCGTACATGCATGTGTCCAGATCACCCTTCCCACCCCTACCCACCCCCACGACACACCCCTTCTCCTCCTCACTTTTCGGATGTTTCAAGCTGCCCCGTGTTGTAAAAAAAGCCACCTTACATAATTCAGACTTTCCCCAAGGTCATATGCATGTATGTAATCTCAACAAAATTGTACTTGTTGACTTGTTGGGGAGGGCGTGGTTCTCTTTGAGCTTTGAGAGTGGGGGTGGCAGGGGAAGGGGCTATCTGTGAAACGGCTGTTGGTGTAGATCGTAAAAAGTTCACTTTCAAATCGATATCTAGTATTTACAATTTAATTTATGCAAATCCATGCAGAAATCAAAATCTGAATTTGGTGGAAAGGAAGGGGCGGGGCCTAGCTGGGAGGGGAAGGACTGGACATCATTTGAATAATGGTGCACTTCAATCAGAGGACAATGGATATGGCCATTATTATATGCCCCTGGGGGTGGGGGAAGGGGAGGCTGTGAAAAGGAACTCTATGTTATTTCTAAAGTGTTCACTTGCATATTACTTATTTACATTCGTTTCGTTATGCAACATACACGTTCAAAATTCGGTGGCACAGGGGGAGTGGGCGGGCCTAGCCAGGTGTGGGGGGAAGTGCACGACCTACTTACCATCCAATGGACTAAAAATGATAAACAGTCTGATTCTGTTTGTGAAAATGTGCTAGATTCATGAACAATACCAATTATACAAGTTTATTACCCAAAACAAAGGAAAACACTGAAAATACACTCTTAAGGTTTTTGTGAAATTTACCATTTTTGGTTCGCTACTGCACAAGGGCTATACAATAACCCAACATTTTCTCACCAGATATGAAAAGACCAATGTTTGAACTAACCATAGCCGAAGGGAAACTATTCTTAGTGCCCTGGCAAGTGCCATTTTGGAGGGATAAAAATGGGGTAAAAAATGCAATTTTGCTAGTTGTAAAAACAGTGTTTTGATTTTTTTCTTGTAAGGGTAAGGATGATACTTTGTCGTGATATAGTTACTTTTGTGACATTACTTTGCAGTTTGGCTTGACGACCTTTGAAAATAACGCAAAAAATGCAGCCTCAAAATTGCCCAAAAATGGCCAAAACACATAATGGCCCGTAACCATGGCAGCGGGCAAAATATCGGATTAAAAAGTCTATTTTGGTAACTTGCTCCCACAGTCCTTTCATCCCACAAAGTTTAAAAAAATTCGATTTTTTTGACCGTGGACACTTGTATGAAGTATTTACACGAAACGACTCTTAAGTACTTTATCAGACCTGCGATATTGGCGAAAACCACATTTTTCTGTCGTGAGTTATTGAATCTAATATTTAACCTGGTACACTCATTACGTGATTTGAACAGGCAAATCTTATATACATGTGCAACCCATGACGTCAAATTGATGTCGGAGTCTTGTTCCTTAAGGGCTAAGTTATACAAAATATTAGCTGCATGCTTTGACAAACATGGTACTATACATGTACATGTACTTGATTCCGTTCAGGGAAGCACAGAACTAAAAAAAATGGATGATGAATTTACTTACACCTGTTTGATTGTTTTATTGACGGTGGCAAATGGCCTCTCTCCAATCGATGAAAGATTGTTTTGGAACATGGATCTAACATAAAATTGAAAATACATAATTTTGTTGTTTTCCTCATTTAGTTTGCAAGCAACGACTTAAGTCATCATATTTGGTGACTTAGGTCTTATTTATATTCGCTAAGATGTGCGCAATACTACCGATGAGTCTGCATTGCAATGAAACCTGGATTAAAGCTTCGCCGGACGTGCGTCATGTAGATGCACGTGTAGTCATGTAGAAATAAACAGTGTTTGCAGCTGCCAAATTAGTGTGTTTACCTGGTTATAACAATTGGCGATGGGGGTAACATAAATACCTTCGGTAACGTAGGTGAGTTTCATGTTGAGAAGGAGACATGGCGTATGAGCACCCTTTGAGACAGTCTTTTAAGGCGAATGATGTGAAAGCACTGGGTAAGAAAAGAGCCATACTGTTGACTGGCTATGGGGCGGATACATTCAAATTGATTTCCAGCCTAGTTGCGCCAGACAAAGCTGGTGAAAAGACATTTGATGAACTAGTTTCAATCACCAAGAATCAATTTAGCCCAAAACCATCTGTCATAGAGGAGAGATACAAGTTTAACTCCAAAGTTAGGCAAGCAGGCCAGTCAGTTTCTCAGTTTATTGCGGAACTACGTCACCTCGCACAACACTATGGTTAAGGGGAGGCTCTCAATGACATGCCACGTGATTGCTTGGTGTGCGGTATCAAGGATGATCGGATTCAATGTAGATTGTTGTCTGAATCTACTCTCAAGTTTGATAAGGGTTGGGAAATGGCTCGAGCCATGGAGCTGGCAGCGAAGAATGCCAAGGATATCCAGCAACATACAAGCGACGGGAGCCCCCCCCCCATCCCCACAAACAAACAAACGCACAAAGTCGGCAGTGTAAAGCCCCAGGGTAAGGATGGAGGGAGGCCACAAACTCACAGTCAAGCACACGGCAAGTCCCATGGGCCTCGCAAGTGCTATCGCTGTGGACAAACAGAACACACATCACAGAACTGCCGAGCTCGCTCCTATAACTGTAATAACTGTGGAAAGCAAGCTCATGTGGCTAAGGTGTGAAGGACCACTAAACTCTATAGACGCCATCATCGACACAGTCAAAGCACAACACATACAACATTGATATAAATGTTGATGTGGAAGAGAGTGCGCCCCCTATGGAAACCTACACCATGTACAAGACAACTTCACAGACGAAAGAGCCTCAGTTTTTAGTAAGTGTGTCCATCAACTGCAAACTGGTGACCATGGAAATCGAAACTGGTGCCTCGGTTTCCATCCTCACTGACAACGCCAACGAGTCGTATTTGTTGACAACAAACTGACACTATGCAAGGACACGGACATTGAACTGCGTACATACACAGGTCAGAAAATACCAGTCATCGGTAGTTGCGCCGTTGCAGTTGAGCACAACAACCAAAATGCTCAATTGCCGCTTCTCGTCGTGTCAGGCAGGGGACCCAATCTTCTTGGCCGTAACTGGCTACGCCATCTTCGATTAGCATGACACACAATCCGTCAAGTGAACCACACACCCGTTCCTATCGACATCACAGGACAGTACAGTACAGTGAGTTGTTTCGCGATGAATTGGGCAAACTCAAAAGACAAAATTCAAAGGACAACAGGAGCTCATCAGCGTGACGAAAGCTGACGCAGAACCAAATTCTGAAGCCAGACCAGTACCCTTCGCCATGAAACAGCTGGAGACTAGCTTTGTCATTGGTTGAGGTGATATGTTTATACAAAACAGTTTATACAAAACACTTTCATCGGCAAATAACCTACATGTAGTTGTTGAGCTTCTGATGCATTCAGGCAGGTCGTTGATGTAGATTAGGAAGAGTGGGGGACTAAGGACACTCCCCTGTGGAACCCCGGATGAGACGATGGATTCACTACTCTTCTGCCCATCAACGAGTACAGATTGGGAACGAGAGTGGAGGAAATCTGATATCCATGCCAGTTTTGCGCCTCTAACTCCATAGTGCTGGACTTTCTTCAGTAGATGTCGATGTGGCCTTTTATCGAATGCTTTCTCGTAATCGAGCAGGACCACGTCGATTTGTGACTTGCTGTCCAGTCCCTGGATGAGGTCATCCAGCATACAGATCAGTTGCGTTTCGCAGGATCTGTATTTGCGGAAACCGTGCTGCGCATCTGACAGGATGTTGTTGTCGGTAAGGTGTTGGATCACAGCACAATGAATGATGTGCTCGCACAGTTTGCAGAGTACAGATGTTAGAGAAATCGGTCTGTAGTTGGCGGCATCAGAACGACTTCCCTTTTTGAACAATGGGACTAATTGTGCTATCTTCCATTGTGATGGTACCCTCCCTTGGTCGATTGAAGCCTGGAAAAGTAACACTGCTGCAGGAGCAATCTCCACAGCCGTCTGTTTTAGCAGCATGGTAGGTATCCCATCGGGTCCAGAGGCAGTGGAGGGCTTGAGATTTTTCAGGAGTTTGATCACTCCATTCTCGCTCACAGTGATGTTTTCCATTTCAGGATGGTTGCTGGTGCCTAGGTCAGGTAGTGGAGCTCCGTTGTCAGTTGAGAAAACCGATGTGAATTGCCGGGTCAGAATGTTGGCTTTGGCCTTGGGATCCGTGTGTAGAAAGCCTCCTTCTTTCAGAGGTGCAACACCCATATGATCACATCGCTTGGCTTTCACAAGAGCACCCAACTTCTTGTTCCTACAACCTGCTGGTACGCTGTGGATGATGTCATGGACATACGTGTTGTAGGAATTTCGGCAGATGTTTTGAGCCTCCTTCTTTAAACGCTTGAAGCGAATCCAGTCTCTGGCTTTGTTTGTGCGACGAGCCTTCTTGAAGGCACGACCCTTTTGTCTCAGGATGTGTTTTGATTCGGAGTTGAACCACGGTTGATTGACTCTTGTGGAGCTAAGCTTAGATGGAACACAGTTGTTGATGATCTCTTCAAGCTCCAGTTGCAGTGCAGTAGCAAGGTCTTCAACTGGCGTTGAAGTAGTGAACTTTGAAGTGAAATCATCTGACATCTCGAGCGGATGGTGACGAGGTCGGCCCTTTTCCAGAGCAGAATCTTGCGCCGAACTGGTTTCCTCCTATAGGCACGGCCGTTCGCGTCCATGAATACCATGTCATGGTCGCTTAAGGCTGGGAGACCCGATCATCTGTTAGTGAGGGAGGGTCTGTTGGTAAAGATGATGTCCAGAGTGTTGTCCCCTCTGGTAGGAAAATTGACCATTTGCTCAAGGCCAGCTGTATCAAGTAGGTGACTGATGGCATCTGATGATACAGATGACTGATGGCGCTATTGAAATCCTCCATATACTTAAGGTCAATTTTGGGAGGTCTGTACACAGATGCTAGTACAATGGTCTGGTTATCGTTGATGATCTTCGCAGCGACAATCTCTGCATCTGACTTGATGGTAATCGGGTGGCTATTAAGGCTGTTGTGGACGCCAAGAAGTACACTTCCGTAACCGTCCCTGCGATCACAACGATAAATGTCATATCCAGGTGGGAAAACTTCTCCATTGGCGATGTTTGGTTTCAGCCATGTTTCGCACCCAAAAACAACATCTGGCTTGGTAGCGTCAAGAACACTCCAGAATTCTGCTCGCTTTGAAAAAATGCTATGGAAGTTCACTTCAGGTAGGCGGAGATTCTTGAGAGTGTGGTTGCTATTTCTTTTGTTGGGTGATGATTTGGCGAGAGGAGAACCTGGATGGTGAGAACTGGTGGAACTCGTTGAAGAGTGGGTCTCAGAATTTGAAGCGCTGTAATTGGACTCATCTAATATTGTTGAGTCAAAAAGCCCAGATGAAAAGTTGGGTAAACCACAACGATAACACTCCCAGGGGAGATCACTGCGCCCAAGGGTATCGAGGGCAGAGTCTGTTAGGCCCACGCAGTCTGAATGAAACCACACGTCACATGATTCGCACAGGATGCTGGCTTTAGCACCTTTATAGCTGGTGCAGGCCCTGGTACACTCTCCACAGGGATACTTAGGTGTGCGGGGGCCAGGGTTGCGTTCAATATCACCAGCAAACAGAAGTTGTTGATTTAGGTAGCAAAATGCTAAGTTCACAAAAATAACAATATAAATCATGACTGAACATGATCTGTAGTGCAGTCTGTAATGTACATGTACACAGCAATGTGAGGTCAATCAGGTCAAATCAATGTCGACATGGTCGGTGATCATGACAATGATGAATGACATTGACAAAGAAAAAAAAGAAACACAACGGCAATGGTATATCATTGTATTATGAAGCAGACACGCAGGAGGGTTGTTGACAGCCAGCATGCATGAGGAGCAGTTATTCAAAGGGAGTATGCAGGCAAACAATGATGCACGATACAGTTAGTCGGCAGGATGTAGATATAGCTGGCTATTGAGTTTGACTCGATGACAATCAATAGATTGTGAAGAAACACACAAGGAGGTTACCAATCACTCGAAGGATGTCAGAAATCAACATATGAAGAGTCAATACCAGGAAAAAGCGGCCGAGTAAACACGCCGATCGCTCTCTTCCGCTTGTCTTGTGACGTTGTGTACACGTTTAACGTACGTATCGCTTCTTCACATGGGCGCCATTTTGACTCGATGACGAACGAGACGATGTGAATAAGTTTGGTGACGATGAATAATCCCATAAGGAGGTGATTTGGAGGGAAAATCCAGGTGGACACAAGTTCCAGAGGTGTTAAATCACTCGATATGATGAGAGAATCCGACAAATGATAAGACAATCCAGGAAAAACTAGCAAAGAAAATACGATTTCGCCCGAGAAAACAAATTTCGTGTTGTCAGACACAACGCATGCGCATCACTGACGACATTCAAGGCGACTCATGATCATGACGTAGTATGCTGGAATAGGGGTACGGCTGATCAGCCGTACCCGTGTTCCAGCAGACTACATACACTCTAAAAAAGAAGTGTCAACGCTTGCTGAGTAAATGTGTTGCGTACCAACGTTGAGTACTTTTTGTTACCTAATTATTATGGGTTAAGTGACAATTTTGCCAGTACTCTTCAAAAGGGAAATTTGACCCTTTGATTGTGCAACCGAAAAATTTCAAATTATAAACAACGTGGTGTAAGAATGCACATTTGACCTTGCAACGTACAACAACACAGGCATTATGAGCTCTCATATGGGTAAATATCACCCCATAATGAGAAAACATTGCCCAAGTGTTGCCTAAAGAACGCTCTCGAAATCGACAGTAACATTCAAGATGGCGGTTAGTGGAATAACAAACGTGCTGCGAGAGTGGGATTCAAAATCGCCGATACCTTTATTTAGAAGTAATCATTTACTATTCAGGATGCACTGATTAATAAAATACGTCATTGAGAAAACGTGGGCAGTATGAGGTAAACCTACAACATTGGATATTTGTAACAAATAGGTCGATGATTGAATTGCAATGTCGCGATGTGTGTTGTGTGTATCGTACGTGTACAAAATGTACATGACATTTGCAACATTCAAACACGGTCAGTATCTGGGCCTGCATGACAGCGCTATTTGTTAGCGGAGCATCCATGTTTGGGGGGTCAGGTAAGAGGAATGGTTAATAAAATATGCAGAAAGGTTGACAGAGCCCCCAACCCTCCACCCCCTGCCCCTGGGGGTCAAAAGAAAGGGTGATCATTTGTTGCGTACAATTTTGACGCAACACCATATGGTAAGAATTCGGACTCAATGTTGGGTAAACATTTTACGCAGGAATTGAGTAAAATTTGACGCAACCCCTGTTGCGTAGCGTTTTACCCCGCCAACGACCATGTTCCCTTTTTACAACCACAAAGAGTACAATTTACGCAACATTGGGTACTTTTTTCTAAGAGTGTAATGATCATGTATCGCCTTGAATCCACCCCTGTCCAGACAAAATTCGTCTCTGGACTGGAAGAGATCCTACCTTGTCACTCGTGCGCGTACCTACGTTACGAACGGTTGGCCACGTGACTGTCAAGATCAAGGATTGAAGCCATACACTTGCAGCTCAGAGGAGTTAAGCGTGCAAGATGGCTGCATCTTGTGGAGATCACGAGTCGTCATTCCCCCACAAGGCTGATCACAGATCATCGAGGAACTACACGATTCACACCCTGGAATCTCGAGAATAAAGACACTCGCTCGCAGCTACGTTTGGTGGCCTTATATGGACAAAGACCTTTAGGATAAGGTCAAGCAGTGTGCAGCCTGTCAATCCTCGCGGAAATCAGTGGGAGTGGCAAAGTCGTCCATGGTCGCACTTACACTTGGACAATGCTGGTCTATTCATGGATGGGATATGTTTCTTGTCATAGTCGATGCAGAAAGCAAGTGGCTAAACATCCACGCTTTGCACACTACAAAATCACAAGCCACAGTAGAACGGCTTCGTCAGACTTTTGCGGCTCATGGACTGCCAGAAGTCATTGTCACTGATAATAACACCAACCTCACCAGTGCAGAATACGAGAGGTTTCTGCAAGTCAACGGCATCAACCATGTCAGGTCTGCCCCATTCCACCTTTCGTCAATTGGTTTGGCTGAAAGGGCGGTGCAGTCCTTCAAAGCCGCTATGATGTGCATGAAGGAGGGCACGTAGAGACTAAACTGTCACGTTTTCTGATGACATATCGCATGACATCACATGCAACAACAGGGTTAGCCCTGCAGAGATGTTGATGAAACGCAAGCTTCGTACAAGACTTGATACAGTTAGACCAAACATTCAAAGCTGGGTTGACAACAAACAGCCAGCACAAAAAAGATCCATGACAAGCGTGTCAAACCTCGTACCTTCAATACTAAATGAGGCGGTCTTTGCCGAAAACCTCGCCTCTGGTCCTCGTTGGATCACTGGTTTCATCATCGCCGCAATCGGTCACTGCATGTACACTATTCAGCTTCAGGATAGTCTAGTCTGGAGATGACATGTCGACTCGCCAAATACCTGCGACATCCGTCATTAATCCAGTCGTACCTATGTCTACACCAAGGGTGGAGGAGTCGGACAGAAACGAGCCTAGTCACAGTAGGAAGGAGGAACCTGCACATCCGGTGGATCCGGACAAATTTCAGAAATTTCCACAAGCACCACAACTTCGAAATAAAGAAATAAACAGTGTTTGCAACTCCCAAATTAGTGTGTTTGCCTGGTAATAAAGGTAGAACAGTTGCTGTGATTGGTCAGGCTTCATGGGCCGGGCGGAGCCTGGTTGGATGGATCATGTTTTGGCCGATTGAGGTGTTTCGTATCACGTGACGTCGTAGTTCAGTAGTCACCAAAGTTACCCAAGCGCCTGCCATATTGTACATCTTGGTTGCAGGCTAGTAAATAATCTACCATAAATTCAAGTGATAAATAGGCCAACTGTCATAAATTCACGAAACAAACCCACAACTCTCCAAATCGGATATTGACCCTGGCAGATATCGCAGGATACGATCGATCAGTAACCTCACTTAAACAATGATTGTAGAGGAAATACATGTACTTACAAATTTGTGAGCTGCGTATTATAGAAAATCCAGGCCTGTATCTCAATGAGAGGATTCCCAAAAGCTAATCTGTCAAAGAAAATAACAAGAACTGCAGTTTGGTTGTTGGTCGACAGTGTATTCTGTAAACGTAAGCCCTATAACGATGGGACACTTGAAATGATTTTGAAATCCTTTATCAATACACAGGGGCATGATGAACCATTGCTATGTGTGATTTTCGGCTAAGGAAATTGCAAAGGCTGGTATTTTTTTCCCCTTAAGATGGTAAGGGGCAAGTCATGAATAATGCAGTAGTTTTCATGGTTAATTATGCTTGTTCATGAACAGAACAATGACATCAACAATAGCTGCCGCAGTAGCCTAGTGGATAGCGAGATAGGCTCTAGAAAGAAAGATGCCTTGTTCGAATGATCCACCGATGCTCATTTTCCTCGACTCTGTTTCTTCTCCAAATGTATCGGTGGGATAATTTGAATTTATGGTGAAAAAAAGAGAAGAGAACGAGAATCTATTTGTCCTACAGTGATTCAAATAAATTATCACTGAATTATTCATGTATTGCCCCCCCCCAGGAAAAACAATTACATGGCCTGGGCAGGGCGATTTGTTCCTTGTCAATTCCTTTATCTGCGGTGTTGACAATAGGTCGACCCCTTTCCGCGGGATCAGTAAAAAGCTCTAAATGAAAATTACATTACAACTTACTGATGCAAGTTATGTTACAATTTTAAGTTAATTTCACCTAAAATGAAAATGATATAAAAATCACCATGCATGTAAAAGACAAGTTGTAAAACCCACATGCGTACCCCACTCCCAGCTGCTGTACTGGAACCTATCTCCCTCCCCTGCACCCAGCCCTGACGACATCCCCACTATGTATTCCATTACCGCAAATCACCGTTAGATTTACGGGAAATTTGAATTAAAATTACGTCACCGTAGGAAACCCGTAAGTGACCGTAATTTTACGGTTTTTGTTGGCAACCCTTTTGACAGTGCTTTGCCGTAAAATCTTGGGCATTTTTTTTTTACAGTGTATAGATTTCTTATTTCATAAAAAAAGAAACTATTAACACTCACAGTAAATTTAGGGAGTGAAGATCCTTAAACATCTCTCTGTTGAGGACCCTGATTTGATTGCGTTGTATGAAGAGTCTCTTTAGCTTAGTCTGATTGCAAAATAAGCCATCAGGAATGGATGGGAGACGATTGAAGCTAATGTCACTTCGAAATATGAAAATGTTGGGAAAAGAAAGGAAAATTAAACGTAGGTTCAATTCAAAATACCTTTAAGTGTATTCAAGATGAAGGTTAGACAAGGTGAAGTTGTCTGTTTTCGTCAGATTGTCTTTTTTGACAGGGAGGGTTGGGTTGAGAACTGCAATAAATAGCCTTGATTATTGTCCCTCTTGGGAAACAATCTGAAGGGGTTTGTGAGGCCTGTTGGAATCAAGGCACGCTGTGCATACGACTATTTAATTACCAAATATTTATTTTGGTCATTGATTAAAATTGTTAGATGTACTGTCCCAAAAAGGCACCTTCTCAAGGCCCATCCTACCCCAGACTTGGGCGTTATATAGTCATTCATTTAGACACTAATTTGTCTAAAGCAGCATGCCGCCTGTATTTTAATTTTCAAAGGAATTATTTGTTTTTGGCGCATTGTAGAGGAAAACAGCTCATTGTTGCTAAAATATTTGTTTTGGGTTATACGTGAGACAACAAAACATGTCTGTCAAAAATCTTACATCATTTCGGTTATTGATGTGTTAACTAACAAATTATCTGGTAGAAAATCTATATCGTTCTCCGCTAGCAACCTGTAGGGGATAGAAACGGATACAAATGACCACCAAATTAATACACGTGATTGAAAATGTTCTTCTTGTCTCATATGTTATGATAACGAATCTCGTTGAAAGGATTTTTATAACAGGTCTTACAGTCAAGGAAGACTACATTTTATAGACTTTAGATATTTGACTAACTGTCTGAGAAGTTCCTTCAATAATAAAATAAAAGTTGCCTGCAATACTGTTATGATCGATGATAGCATTATTTACTACACTTGATGTCATGAAGACACATGGAAACATACATCAGAAGAAGTGTACTGCACTCACACTTGACTGATTTCAGTCTTCGCGTCAAACAAACCCTCTGGTAGAGTCGTTAGGTGATTGTTCTGCATTCTCCTAATACAGTTTTACAGAGTTCAAATTGAGGAGTTGAAATATTAATGATAATGCATCTCGGTTTTAAATTCCAATGCCCACTGTTATAACACTGCATTCGTAAACTTGATAAAAAACACTTTTTTTCTTGTATGTAACGTTGATGATTAATTTTACTCACAGCTTCTGGAAGTTTTTAACACCATTAAAAGCTCCAATGGCAACTCGGCTGACTGCGTTATTAGCAATAGAACTAAAGAGCATGAGAGACAAAACCAACACATTACTAAAATTATTCCGAAGACCCCCAAAATAAGAAAGTAAGACTTTTTTTAACAATGACCAAAACCTGTACGCCATTATCTTTTCAGAGTACTGTAATACTCACAACGTGTCGATTTGTTTCCTGTGTAGTTTATTCGAGGGATCCACAAACAAATAAGCTGGAATCTCGGGGATTCGATTGTCATCTAAAATTCTGTAAGACATTGAATATTTGACACGCAGTTTTAGCAACTATATTTTCTTTCACAAATAACAAACTTCAGTGTGGTAATAAAATAATTTGATATATATATATATATTTATTTTTTTTGAAAAGATAAAACCTCTAATCCCAAACATTTTTGAGGGCAAAACTTGTGCGTATATATATAAGCCAATCCCCAGGGTTGTCTCTGCTATCCGTTTAAAAGTATAGCTCTTTATATCCTCAACATTTATATACATGTAATAGTTTGGGCGTATTTTAGTAGATTTTCAAAATAACATTCTAGAGAGAAAATTGTATTTTGAAGAAACGACCACCGTTCTTTGAATGCTTTTCTCCTTACAGTAATTACCATGACTGGCATGCATACTCACATCAAATTGAGCTTGGTGCTTTTACCAAAGGTATGTGCTTTAAACAGTTGCACATCGTTGTATCGCATCAATCTGTAATGCCAGAAATGTGAACAAACGCACTTATAAAATTTAAGTTTTACCTTAAGAGAGCCAGGTTATTTTGACCATCTCTCAAACGGAGGGAGGGATCTTGGCAATTGAGTAACAACAAATTATGAAGCTCTGTACATACATAGATTAAGTTATCATAAACATACCCAATAAGGTTCCTGACTATACGTCAAAGGGTTTCGGTATTATGGCTAATTAATTATTCATATGCACGAATGGTAATTCTACTTTGTGTACATGGCGTAAATGGGGAAATTCAGTATTTCGAAAAAGGTTTTTGCTGCGCTCCGTCAAGGCTTAACAATTCCCCGCCATATTGTAAGTACACCAAAAGGAAAAAAACAACTCGCATAAATGGTGAAACCTGTTTAAAACACATTCTGGTAAGACAAGGTAACTGATTTGCGCGTGTTATTTGAAACTTAAGGAAATAACACATGGTATCAGCGCGCGTACCACTTGCGCACGTATCCCTTTCATGCGTACCATTTGCGCATGAACCATTTTATCCGGTTCGTTAGTGTGACGTCATCTCAATTCAACCATGTATACTTCACACGGTGTAACATAGCGCGAATGGAAACGGAAGTTAACGCACCTCCCCCGTTTATCCAATGTAGTCGGGGGTCTTAGGGATATTTTGGTTCAGATTCTTCCAAAAGTACCTAATTCGGCACAGATGTCGACCATACCATACTATTTCGATTTTTGTCGGGGCCGCCATATTGGCAAAATGGCCGCCAACCGCGTTGGAGGTCAATTGAACCAAATGAACTAGAATCATAAATGTTACCAATTTCCAGGTATTTTTGGGGTCGAGCAATCTGAATCATTCTTATTTTATTTTACGATTTGAGGCAAGACAGACGCTGAAAGGGACCGCCGTTTTGGCAAAATCCAAAATGCCGCCTCATATATCACAGTTAAAAAAATAACGACCTAAAATTTTAAACAATACCTTCCTTAATGGGTTTTCGGGCTCACGGAATCTAAATCTGATGTCATTTTAATGATTCCGAAATAATACTGATAACTATAATAATAATATATTGAGCTTATATAGCGCTTTATACCAAAGTTCTCAAAGGGCTTCATTACCCCTGTTCATCAGGTCATGAGACCAGTTTCTGCAGCAGCTCAAGATCAGCGCAATCTGGTCTCTACCTTCACAGGTACCCATTTATACTCATCGGTGAAGAGAGGCAATTGTAGTAAAGTGTCTTGCCCAAGAAGACGAGCACCATGTTTCCCGTCCGGGTTTGAACCCACGTACTGCAACAAGTGAGCCAAACACCGTAACCATTGGACCACAACACTTCACAATAACTACACATAGATAGAACGGTATGGACGGCATCTGTGCCGAATTTGGTGCTCTTGGAAGAGTCTGAACCAAACAGCCCCTAAAACGCTATAACAGCTAGTTATCAGTGTTATCAGTGTTGTGCGCGCGTGTATGACGTTGTTACTAACGAACCGGATAGTTAGGCGCACTAAGTGCAAAGTCCACCGTGCTTTCAGTGTTTCTTACACTTGTTGGGCTTCCAGTCCTTCGAAAGTATCCGGGCCGAGTTCCTTCAAATGATTGCTTAAAAGATTCCTTCGGGGAAAGAAAGAAACATGCACCAAACGTTTAATGAAGTGCTTTGGTTTTTGAGCGCGTGAGGGCGCTCTGCGAAGATCCGCCCTCATTTGCCAAGATATACTGCCTATTCACATAGCCTTAAACTGTCATTATAACCAACCCCTGAACTGGATATTTGGAAACAAATCGAAACTCAACATACTTTTTTGTAGAGATTCACTTTAACCTTGCGCTGAGAGATCTCTGTTGAAAATAATATCTCGGATTTGGGACCAAAATAGCTTATTTGTTTTTCTGAATGTTATCTTTTGAGTAAGATGTCTTTAAGTTGGCCTTGAAATTTGACTAACCCACGAATAAGCCAAGCGCAGCCTACACTGCGAAAATAAGGTCAAACGATGAAACATTCATGTTGTCAACAGTATCAACCATAAAAATGGAAACCTTATAAGTTATCTCTGTGATTTTTTACGGCGTTTTTTTTTTTTAAAGCGTCTTAGTTGTATACTCACAAATGTTGGAGGTCGCTGCAACTCTTGAATGTACCCGCTTCAATAACAGTCAAATCATTCGAGTTCAAATTCCTGTGAAAGAGTTTTTGTTTGAAATATGCGCTCCGCTTACTATTTCTTGTAGATTGTAAAAGGTTCACTAGCAAATTGATATCTAGTATTTACAATTCAATTTAGGCAAATACATGCAGAAATCCAAATCTTAATTTGGTGGCAAGGGAAGGGGCGGGGCCAAGGGAGGACTGGACAACATTTGATTAATGGTGCACTTCAATAAGAGGACAATGGATATGGCCATTAATATTCATTGCGGCTTGAAAACACATGAGGTTTGCCCATGTGACAATGATTTTACCGACAAAGCCAAGTTATTGGTGGGTGGTCACACCCCACCCTCAACCCCTAGCAATGCCCCGGGGTTTGGGGGGGGGGGAGGGGAAGCTGTGAAAAGGAAGACTATGTTATTTCGAAATGTTCACTTGCATATTATTTATTTAAATTTGTTTCGTTATGCAACATACAACTTATACATTCGGTGGCAAAGGGGGAGTGGGCGGGTCCTAGCCAGGTGAGACAACACGACCTACTATTCATCCACTTGTCTAAAAATGATACAAAGTCTGATTCTGTTTGTGTGAAAATGTGCTTGATTCATAAACAATACCAATTATACAAGTTATGACTGAACATAAAGAAAACACTGAAAATACACCTTTTAAGTTTTTGTTAAACTTACCATTTTTGGAGCGCTACCTCACAAAGGATATACAATAACCCAAGATTTTCTCACAAGATATGAAAAAAAACCAATGTCTGAACTAACCATTGCCGAAGGGAAATTATTCAGAGTGCCCGACAAGTGCCATTTTGGAGGGATAAAAATGGAGCAAAACATGCAATTTTGCTTGTTGTAAAAACATGCTGTATTATAGGGCTAAAATAATAAAAAGGGGATTTTTCAGAAGTGTTTTTATTTTTTCCTTGTAAAGGGTAATGATGATAATTTGTCGTTATATATTTACTGTTGTGACATTACTTCGCAGTTTGGCTTGATGACCTTTGAAAATAACGCATTTCAGTCTTCGCGTCAAACAAACCCTCTGGTAGAGTCGTTAGGTGATTGTTCTGCATTTTCCTAATACAGTTTTACAGAGTTGAAAAATTGAATCATTGCATCCTCAAAATTCTATTTTGGTTACTTGCTCCCAAAGTCTTTTCATCCCACAAAGTTAAAAAAAAATCGAAATGACTCTTAAATCAGTGTGGTTTTGTATGTAGTGTTTAAGTTGAAGATGGGATAATTTCTCTCGGAATCAGATCCGCAGAGTTGGTCAGATCGGTCTCAATTTAGCGAACCGACTGCACTTGTGTCCTAAGGGGTAACTGACTCAACTCGACTCGACCACACGTACACTGTGACTCGATTTGACTCGTCCATCTTGATCTAATAACTGGACTCTACACGATTTTTAAAAGCTATATCGAATCGCAATACAAGAAACATGTTTCCCACCCGTACTATTGTCAACGAGGTTTAAATAAAGTAAGTCCTGGGCGAGATTGGTATAAGACTTTGCTTTCACTAAAGTGGCACTGTCATTATCGCCAATTATAACAGTAATATGCGAACTTACACATTTATCAACTTGGTACATCTTGCAAATGTGTTGTTACCGATCGCCTTTATTCTGTTGTCTTCGAAATTCCTAGAACAGAAGCCGAAGTTGACACCTAAGTTAATTATTTTGCGTTGATCATCCGCAACGACAAAATCCCCTGCGGCAGTATTATGATTGGGCGCAACAGCTTCATTATATTACAACACAATCAAATAGCATGTACACATTTCGCCCATTTATAAAGTCATCAGTTTCCAGTCTGCATATCTCAATGAACAACATAATTCGTGGTGATACAAAATCATAGTTACAGTGATTTAATCCTCAGAATCAAAGCAATTTCCCATTTCCCATTTACGCGTCAAATAACTTATCGAATTCGCAAACTAACTATCTTGAAGAACTTAAACATTTTAAAAGTCGAAAGGCGTGAGTGATTGATCTGCGTGAGAAAATTTCATCTATTTGAATAAAAGACTAGCATTAAGCAATTAATATTGACTCACACTATATGTAGCTTAACTCCGTTTTTCATGACCAAGTCGATGTCTTGCAGTTGATTTCTACTAGCGTATCTAAGAGCAACAGGTGAACGTATTCCCATTGTTAAAGTGTTATATAAGAAGAGAATGTTTTGAAATGGGTTATCTTCACAACTGAACCCGCGAAGTGACTTTTGTTTTGATGTGAAAATACCAGTGATATACAATGTCAAGAGGCAGTTCAATATGTAATGTTGTATACGTGTTGTACTTACAAATTCACTACAGACTCCGGAATTTCGAAAGGCTTGTCAATGCTGTTACCGGTCAAATTGCTATGTAAAACAGAGAAAATACAGTTAGGTTTTAATAAACGGTGGTTATATTCGAGTTTTGCCTCATATTCACATTTTCAAGTGCTATTTTTGTAGTATTTAAGAGGTAGAGTACATCATTGTAACTTGTGCACTATGTTCGTTTGAAGCATCAAAAGTGCTCAAATCTTAAGACGGACACTGAATAACTAACCTGAGGAAGTTTTAGCTCAGTTAATGCTGTCTATTCTCAGAAAACAATATTATAGGATTTGGATTTCTATTCAAAAGTTCCCCATATTTTGAATTGCGCCCCAAATCAACGTCCGGGACACGTCTTCCTTCACCCAATTGCAGCTACAAATGGCATGATTTCGCTAACCGAAACGACGAATTATAACAACCGCAGGCGTGTAAGTCGTGTTAATGCCCTACGCGCATCAATTCACGGCTTCACCGAATTAAACAGGAACTGCTGACGAAAATGACTAAAATTGCGTCTTTAGACGCATCGTTGGAAATGGACTGATTTTGTTATATTCTTCAACATGACAGCTTGCCAGAAAGAATAATTTCTCGTGGAGTTTAGTCCATTACTATCTTAAAACCAAGTATGCCTTTCAACAAAAAAAAATCTTCAGTTACTTTTTGGATAGCTGCCAATGATATTTATATGGACTGTACCTTGAAATGAGACATAGCTAAGATGGCGAAACAGGTTCGGACCGAAGTAAGTGAACCTTATAATTGACAATGATCTTTTTTTCTGTTGTTGCTGTGTTGAATCAGGATACAGAGGAAAAGTTTTCAAAACAGAGGTTAATATAGGAAACGAGGTTGAAAATAAAGTAGCTCTTCGAGACGAGGTTGGAATACAGTGGATTTTACATTAATAAAAATAAACTGCGTATTAGGTCTAATAATTTTGAAAGAGACGTGCTATTCATTAAAACTCTGTAAAAAGTTGATATGAAGATAACAGTATATCTGGATCCAATTTTATGTGGCTTGCAAGCAGTAAAGTTTCTTTATAATATGTTAGTAAGCGTATGTACGTACTGCTATGTAAAACTAAGCTAGTACAATCAATACAAAACATATGAAATTGGTTTTGCTCGGCAATGTTAGGGCTAAATAATAATGTTTGTACAAAACGGGCATACAATAAGACATACAATGTACTTACAGCGAAATTAGGTACGGAAGTTCCATCAAACTATTCTTCGGTATCTCCTTCAAGTCATTCTGGGCAATTTTTCTGAAAATTAATATTGTGCATTCGAAGTGTTATCGTAGGCCTCTGTATAGCGTACATAGTGTATTAGAAAGGAATGTTTTGCTTCGTGGTATTAGTGAATAGGTTACGTTGAAGGTCGTGGCAAGGACTGTTGATGAGGAGTCAAAAGCCCCAAAAGCACAACTTGATATATATACATGTGAAATATCGAAGTTGAACTTGGGAAACAATTGTCCTCCGACATATTTATTTTCAAGTTATTCTGTTTACCTTGGCTGTTATTAGATATATGCATTGTCACCCTCCAAGACACAAGAACAAACAAATCTAGATCAATTTCGGTCATAGAGACCACAAACATACTATTTAACTGATTCTGAACGGCCATTCACCGGATGATATTTTTCATCAATCAATAGTGTCTACACTAAGGGGTTGGAGCACATTCATTGCACTGCCTGGCTCACGAGAGACATGCAGTCATTAAGTCAGGCAGGTATATACAAAAAAGACTCTCTTTTTTTTTTCTTCCCACAATCAGTCGGTGAGTCAGTCAGTCAACAATCATGGTGGTGACGCCACACTCTACGTTTCGGTATTTTCATGCCTTTTATCCTCTTTTAAAAGAAAACCCGACCAGCAGCCTTATATTCTGGTTATTCATAAAGACTGAACCAGGGTTTGGGATCTGTCTTATCCAAGATTGTATTTCCTTTAGGCAGTTAAGCATCAAATGAATGCCTACCACCAACAGGGAACAATTGGTATGGCTTGAATTTACGACTTGTTTGACATTCCTGAATCATTCTTAGAGTGGCATATAGGCACCTTTATATATTTTTTCAATTAAATATCAAATGTAATATTTTTGGCGGGTAATTAAATCATGTTTTCTTTAATTGATCACTTAAAATGCTGCACAAACACAGGAAATCATGAATTTGTCGGACTGTGCATGCACATGTAACATGTATGGGGTTCACAAAATGTAGACCCAGCAGCAAGGAAACTGTACTGTCTGTGGACTGGCCTTCTGTGGTGCAACTGATTGCCTTAAGGGATTGATAAGTCAAGTTTAACATCGAAAGCCTGGTGTAAAAAGGACCCAGGATTTTAAAAGTGAAATTCTCCTCATGTCCTTTTTTTTGCGGGGGAGGGGTGGAAAGTTGGGCCTGAGAAATAATTATTGGACCCACCCCCCCCCCCCCTTCTAGGAAAAAAAAACCTACGTGGAAACCCACAAGCGGGGATGCGAGGCGTAGCTGAACAATCCATACGTATTTTATTTATGCACATATTGCTGCGTTTCAGGGCCATTTCTGTGTGTTTCAGTCTGAAATATACATTCAATGTACAGCAAATTTTGATTGGAGTCTATTTTTTCATTCCGTTGACTGTAAATTTCTCTTTTATTTTCTTTTGGTATTATTGTCTCGTATGGTCTCGTGGTATTGTCAAACTGGTGGGGGGGGGGGTGTGGAGGATAGGAAGTCAATTGGGGTGGGGATTCAACCCACTCAGTCCCTCAGTCAGTGAGAAAGGTAAAGCAAATTAAAGACGCTGTAGGGTAAGTAATGATAATTGTTTCACTTACAGTACGTTGGTGTCGTTTGGTATCCCCGTCGGTAACTCCATCAGACCTCTATCGCTGCAGTCAACTATGCGAGGCCCGTGGTCGCTACACTCACACACCTCACACGCTTCCTTGCTTGCATGAACCGCACAGTGCAACACGACAAAACCCACCATTAAGTTCATGTACCAACCCCGCTCCATGTCTGTATGCGCCAGGTGTTGCAAAGGCCGTCAGGTTTCTAGTATGGTTGGGTTTAAACTGCAGTAGTGTGCTATTGATCTTTCTTTCAACTGTATGAACAATCAGAAATTTAAACATGTTCTGTTTCAATCGAGAGTATTTTTGCTGCAGGTCTTGAAGAGCTTCCTGGTAATGAACTCGGACGAATGTCGTGCGGAATGTCAGGTTTTATTAAACGCCTTCACAACATCGTCTTAAGGAATGAGATCCATTGTTGCTCTCAACACATGGAGAACTATTGAAGCGTAAAGCAGGGAACCACTTAACCTCGTTTAATGTCTGTATGTTGATTTTTTTTTTCTTTATGATTTAAATAACTAGCTAGAGTTTCGCTCTATATTACAGGGTGAGTATATTACAGGGTGAGTCAGAATGATCTGGACCCAAGTTCACCATTTTTTTGGTGGCAAATAGAATATATTGAAGAAAAATACGGTGAGTGTTTCGTATGAATTAATTACCTTGTTATTCCTTCCACAGGAATTTTTTTACTTCAAATTAGTGGCTATGATGAGGAGAAATGCCATTACTTATCATTAAAAAAAGTTGCTCATTTTGCAGTCTGCACACGGAATTGGCTTTGCCCTTTTTAAATGTGTCAATAACTTCAACTGAGTTAGTCATCTTGACTAGGTGTTTATTTGCTATAGCGCTGCTTCACTTCAGTCTCCGATTTGAATCAAATTTGTGGAACCGTGGAACCGTGGTCAGAGTGTTTTTAGCATGTACACTCTAAAAAACTGCTGAGTAAATGTGTTGCGTACAAATGTTGAGTACTTTCTTACCCAATTATAGGTTAAGTGACGATTTTGCCAGTACCCTTCAAAAGGGAAATTTGACCCTTTGATTGTGTTACCGAAAAATATCAAATTGTAAACAACGTAGTGTAAGAAAGCATATTTGACCTTGCAACGTACAACAAAACAGGCATATGTGCTCTCAGATGGGTAAATATTACCCCTAATGAGTAAGCATTGCCCAATGTTGCCTAAAGAATGTTCTCGAAATCGACAGTAATATTCAAGATGGCGGTTAGTGGACTAACGAACGTGCTGCGAGAGTGGGATTCGAAATCGCCGATACCTTTATTTAGAAGTAATCATTTACTTTCCAGGATGCACTGATTAATAAAATACTTCATTAAGAAAACGTGGGCAGTATGAGGTACCTATAACATTGGATATTTGTGACGAATAGGTCGATGATTGAATGTCAATGTCGCGATGTGTGTTGTGTGTATCGTATATCTACAAAATGTAAACAATCAAACACGGTCAGTCTCTTGGCCTGCATGACAGCACTATTTGTTATCAGAGCATCCATGTTTTGGGGTCAGGTGAGGGTAATAAATTATGCAGAAATATTGACAGAGCCCCCAACCCCCACCCCTACCCCCTGTTCCTTTGGGTCAAAAGAGAGGGTGATCATTTGTTGGGTACAATTTTGACGCAACACCATTGGGTAAGAATTTGACTCAATGTTGAGTAAACGTTTTTACGCAGGAATTGAGTAAAATTTGACGCAACCCCTATTGCGTAGCGTTTTACCCCGCCAACGACCATGTTCCCTTTTTACCACCACAAAGAGTACAATTTTACGCAACATTAGGTACTTTTTTTCTAAGAGTGTATGGTACAATGGATATACGTGAGACTTTCACCAAATATGTCCAAAATACCAGCCTGTAACATATCTCATTTGTACTTGTTTTAACAATTGCTACTCATTTGTAATATTTCCTTTTATTGGGTCCAGTTCATTCAGACTCATCCTGTACATGTAACCGAGTATTACATCATGTAGAATTTTAGCGTTGCGCTTTGTAAACATTTGTAAAGCTCGGTTCGTACTCCACGCAAATGCGAAGGCGAAGCGAATTTGACGTCATGAAACGTTCGCTGCGAAATTCGCCCAAGTTGAAATGTACTCAACTATACGAATTCGCAGCGCGAATACTTGACACGACGACACAAATTCGCGTTCGCTTTCGCTTTCGCGCCGAGTATGAACCGGGCTTCATAGTAACGAGTGTAGCGGTCTTGCAATTTAATTATCGCCCTGCACAATGCTGACTGTAAGTCTCCTGTAAAGGAGGAAGGGCAAGGGGTTTTCCCGACAGCTTATAATTCAACTTGAGTGGAACAGTTTTTTTTTATTTCACCTCCAAAAAATCACACGTTTCTCCTAACCTGTCTCCTGACTAATCATCAATAACTGCACTCCCTGCCAAGTACTTCCACTTTCCAAATTGGAATTTCCATAGATAGGAATATTTTTTCCCTGAGATTTCCTTTTTTTGTTTTGAATTCCCTGATTTTTTTCCTTTAATATTTTTTACTTAAAGTAACCATTGTAATAACAACAACTGGACTTTTCTAACAGGTTTAGTTTATCAGTTTCTCATCATCAAAAAAAATATCTTTTTCATTCTTTTCGAAGCCATTAAACTGCCTGTCATCATCCGCACGCATTGTGCGCGCGTGCGACTTCGGTTCTTTCGCGTCTTCTGGCCATTGCCACGGACTTGGCCTTAAAGCCGGGCCACTGTTGTTCTGTAGAAGCCCAAAAAATAGCCTTTGTATTCATAGGGACACAAATTTATAATTTTTTATATCTTCTTTGAAATGTCGTTCAGATTGTGAATTTCCTTAACATTTCCTTTTTTATAACTGCGTACACGTACTACTACAATACCAAAAAAATTACCACCCAGTCTCGTCAATCTTTTCCCTGGAGATCGAACCCATTGTTCATTAATGCTGGCTCAACTAGCGATAACAAAATTAAATCATAAACGTTCCAAGTGGGATTATATTAACCATCAATCCATACACATGATTTGGCCTATTTTTTTTTCTGTAAAAGCCTTAAAGAGGCTTTACGGCCTAAAATCCCCGAACATTTCATTTTTTTGATTGTTTACTTACATTTGTTTTTAAATTTTCGTCGGAAGGAAATGTACTTAATGTCTGTGTTTACATCAGACATGACGGAGTACGCCTACGTTTTTCCTGTCGTTTTCATTGAATGCATGCAAGGTATGTGTCACAAAAACTACACACAGCACCAATGCACAAATGTGGTTTCTGACACGTCCGCAGGAGCCAAAAACTTTACGGCTGGGATCACAACTATCACTGAACAGCCCAATCTTTGGGGTCGCAAAAGTGGACCCCGAAATTGGTTCTTGCACGAATAAGAGGAATAACACAAAACGGCCAGTTGCAAAGGATATAGTTGTAAGTAAATGTTCTTTCCGATTAACATCATTTCGTTAAAAACGCGTTTAGCCCAATTAGGCGTATTTATTTCAGTAAAACGTGTAATGGTAATCAAAACTTTATACACAACCATAATACAAACTCGGAAACACCATCACAGGAACGGTGGTCTACCGAAATCAGTAGCGTATGCATCTTTTGATGTCGGGGGGGGGGGGGGGAGCAACCACACGCGCACATCCGCGCCTAAATGTATGCATATTTTTTTTCTGGACACTGTCTTGTCCTACGTAAAATAAAACAAGCGGGGGAGGGGGAGGGGGGGGGGGCTGGTAATTATCTTCCATATGGAGGCGCTCTTCAAAACTGACCATTATTATGCATACTGGAAAATGTTCCTGGCGCATTGTAATGGTTTTGGAGCTTGGTTTTCTTTCTTTGTCGTGTTTATTTCCAGCCTCAATCTAAATTGCTGCAAGTCGCAAAGAGCTACGTGGTTGTGAACTCGGGACAAGCTAGGTCCAGCGCGCGGAAGTTCCCCAGTTATTTTTTCCCATGACATCATCGTCACAAGGAAATGTTCTACATACATTATGTGGTTTTTATTCTTGAACAAATTGCAACGGGAACGTTACTTGTTTCGATACCACGAATATTCTGTATGACAAATACAAAGTTCTGGTGGATTCCCTGAGGGGGAAGTCTTGAAAGCTCCTTCAGCCCCTGTTAGGGGCGGGTTTCCTATGGACTTTGAAAGGGCACATTGTGTGCACCGTCCTAATTCACTTGGACCAATTTTCCTCACATTCTGGCAGGAATTTTGTTTGGCCACTAATCTATTATGCCATCACTTGTTTGCCAAATATTTATCACGAAAGGGCGCTTTGCTCTGTTTCCTCTCTTTTTTTTGTCAAAACAATATTTTTGCACATTTTAAAAATGTTTCCTTGTGATGTTTTCAAATTTTGTCCAAAATGTTTGAGTAAATATTTTTTGCATCCAATGTCACTATTAGAGGGCGCTTTACTATGTACTTTTCTGATGTTTTGGTGAAAAACAGTATTTGTATCACAATTCCCAAACTATTTTTGAATGCTTTTAAATCTGGTATAAACAGTCTTAGGGTAAAAGTCAACAGTTCAAAAATACACTTTTAAACAGCAATACAGTGTTTAGATTGTAAACACGTTTCTAAACACTTTTTGTAGCTACTTTTTAAACATGTTAAAGTCCACGACATTTTAGATTAATGGATGTCTATGACACATTTAGGCACGTTTGAAAGGTCATTAGTACCATCTAGTATAAAATGTAAAACTAAAAATAAAAAATGACTTATCGGGTTCAAGTTAGCCTTGGTCAATGCTCTCGTCGTTATTCGTACCGTACGCGGTCAATCGTCGGCATAATTACGCGCTATGCACATGCATGTAAAAATACAGAGCGAACAGCGACCTCACGCGGCCACTATTTTTATATGCAAATCAGTTGGGGACGCTCGAGAGCCTTGGTTCAATCGTCCATGTGAGGTTTTGGGGGTGGTGCTCATTATGCTAATAGCTTTAGCTGACCTTAAATGTCGTTTTCTTATTGGTCGATCGTTGCGTGGAAACTTGCATAGTGAAACGTGGCACCGTACATAATCCATACACGTACACGTTGTGTGTCTCTGCACACGGCACCAATGCACAAAAACTGTGGTTCCTGTCACGTCCGCAAAAGGCGAATAGCTGCAAATA